CATGCGAAGCAGCAAAAACGCCTTGATCGCAGACACTATCACCGACTACCGGCCCCACCACCACGACATCCTGGACAAGCTCGACACCCTCGCCACAAAGGCAGGAGAACCACAGGTCAGCTACAACACGGTCGAGGCAATTAAGAGGAAATCTCCGCAGCCAACGAGTTAGCCCACCAATTCCTCGACAAGCTCAACGACTGTGTCACCCAACTGCGCCCCTAACCATTGACGAAGCCATCCTCCCCACTGCGCGAAGCCGCACGAGGTGCCAACGCGCCCGACGCCGACCACCCCCACACATCCACTATGGGCTTTGTGCGACAGCCACTCCTTCCACCTCGCATACTCCACCTACTCCAGCTTAGCGTCGGCACCTACTTCGGAGGAAGGCAGGGCATTGGCCACCCCCCCCTCCGACATCGTAGGCTCCGTCGACTTCGATTGCCGCGTCGACGTCCACCTCCGATGCACTGGTCATGCGCACTAACCTCTCTCCATCCTCGTCTACTCCATCTACTACGATTTCCGCGTCGATTTCTACCTCAGAGGCATAGGCAGGGCACCCTCACCAACCACTTCCACTACCTCGTTTACTCCGTCTACTCATATTTCCTCGACGATTTCCACCTCTGAGGGACAGGCAGAGCAAGGCTTGGGGATGGAGGGGGCGGTGGAGCCTATATCACGTGGAGGACGGGGAGCTAACCCTCGCATTCTCGAGTGTGGCCACAGCGATGCCGTTCACCTCGTTGCCTCAACCGTGCTCTGTCGTAGCCGCACCATCAGAGCTCAACCTTTTTCTTGTCGCAGCTTCACCCGCCAACCCCTCGCTCGCCGACTGCAGTGGCAACCGAGGCATGGCATTCTCGAGCGCGGCCACAGCGACGCCCGCTCACCTCCTTGCCTCAACCGTGCTTCGTCGCAGCTGCAACATCATAGCTCTGACACATCCTCCTTTCCCAACCTTGCTTTGTCGCAGCCGCGTCCGCCAACCCCCCCGCTCGCCAACCGCAGCGGCACCCGAGGCGTGGCATGCTCGAATGCGGCAACAACGATGACCGCTCACCTCTTTGCCTCAACCGCGCCTTGTCGCAGCTGCACCATCATAGCTCTCACATCGGAGGGGAGGGATGGGCGGAGGAAGAGGAGGAGTTAACCGTGGCACTCCAGAGTGCGGCCACAGCGATGCCGGCTCACCTTTCTGCCTCAACCGTGTTTTGTCGTAGCTGCACTATCATAACTCAACCTTGCCTTGCCGCAGCTGCACCTGCCAACCCCTCGCTCGCCGACTGCGGTGGCACCCGAGGCATGACACTCTCGAGTACGGCCGCAGCGATGCCCGCTCCTCTTTGCCTCAACCGTGCTTTGTCGCAGCTGCATCATAGCTCTCACACCCCCTCTTTTTCTCAACCTTGCTTCGTCGCGGCTGCGCCCGCCAAGCCCTCGCTCGCCAGCTGCACTGGCACCCGATGCATGGCAATCTCGAGTGCGGCCGCAGCGATGCCCGCTCACATCTTTGCCTCGACCGCGCTTTGCCGCAGCTGCACCATCACAGCTCTCACATCAGAGGGCGTGGGGGGGGAGACTGATTTGAAGGGGTGATGTTGGCGGCAGGCCAGTGACTTTTTATTATTTATCACCTCCCTTCTTGCCCTCTTTCATCTCGTCTCGATCATTTCGTTTTTTACCTTCTCCCTAATGCGCCCCCACCTCCCCGCAGGGCTTCACCGTGGGACTGTGGCAGGACAGGTTTGCACGGCGACAGACATCGTCTCTCACAGCCGTTAGCAGCAGCAGCAGCAGGCCGAGGAGGAGGAGGAGGAGGTGGTGATGAATTGTGCGCATCCTTCTCCCGTCGTTTTTTCTTCAGCCCGTCTCCATGGGGCCGCCTCAGGATGATCCGGTACGCAATTCAAAACCACAGTTCTCCCTTTTTCCCATCTCGCGCTCGCGCTCGCGCATCTCCACTGTTTGTCCAAAACGCTCGGACGGGCCGCGCACCGGGCGCGCGCGCACGCGCGCGCGAGGGGCGGGGGGGATCTCCGAACGGCCACGGGATCCCCCCCCGCCCCCGAGAGCGAAGAGGGACGGGACTCTCACCATCTTGTTGTTTTCCTTGCGCGGTCTGCTCGAGCAGATTTCCTTTCTCACCACCCACCAAACCACCCCAACCCAACCCGAAGGCTTCAATTTGCCGTCCATTTCCAGTGGGGGGGGGGTCCGGGAACATCGAAAAAAAACATATGGAGCCCATCCCCCCCCCCCAACCCGAAATTCGGGTCTTCGGGTTGGGTTGGGGTGGTCTGGTAGGTAGTCACTTTCCCCCTGCGAAATGTTCGTTTGAAATGTTTTGAAGACCTTCCTGGGGCCCACCTGGCGGATCTGTTCTGCTTGAGTTTGCTTCCAGCTTTGTTCGGGTTCGCTCCAGATCGGCGGACGGACGTTCGAAGCAACATCGGCGCACAAGTGTAGCAAGTTCCAGGAAGATCCAAAGAACGAGTCCGACGGCACGCCCAGTGGGGAAGCCAGTGGGGACGAGCCCCCATTTTTCTCAGAGGTTTTTTCTTTCCAAGTTTTCTCCGAAATCGACGAGGGCTTCTCTGAAGGCAGGGGGGGGTCCGAGAAGCCCCGCCGCCTTCTGAGAAGGCCTCGCCCCCTCTCAACTTTCCCCTCGGCGCGCCGCCGCCGTGCATCTAACCCCTGGCGGCCCGCAGGAAGAGCAGGAGGAAGAGGAGGAGGAGGAGGAGCAGCAGCAGCAGCAGCAGGGGGATGGGGAGGAGGAGCAGGGGGAGGGGGAGGGGGAGGGGGAGGAGGAAGCGTATGAGGACGGGGAGGGGGAGGAGGAGGAGGAGGAGGAGGAGGAGGCGGAGGAGGAGGAGGCGGAGGAGGACGAGGAGGAGATGGAGGAGGAGGAGGAGGAGGAGGAGGAGGCGGAGGAGGAGGAGGAGGCGGACCAGAGTAGACCCAAGACCCATGAACAAGATTGAAATACATCCTCCCTCCAAGTTATCCCCTTCACAGGTCCCTACAAGGATTTATTTTCACTGGGCGAAGTGCCCCCTGTAAAGACAACCGTCTGAATTTCCGAGCAGTGCCAAAACACGATTCTTGGGACTTCAGCAGCGCGACTTGGCGTTACTGTTGCGTCCTGACGATCCTGAATCGCGCCAGAGCACCATTCCTGGAACTTCAACACCGCGAAACAGAATGACCGCTGCGCCCTGACAACCTTACATCGTGCCAGAACATCGTATCTGAAAACTTCGTTTCTGGTATGCCAACAGTAAGAGTTCATGAAACAATTGAAAGTGTGCGCGCCGCGCTAAGGCGAGAGCCACATGTTGACAAGGAGCCGGTCTCCATCCGTGAAATTTGTCCTTGCAAACTTGCAAAACGACTGTGCGGCGCGAGGGCGCAAGTCTCATTTTGGAAACGGCCCGCCCGCTATACGTGAAATGGACTTTTATGCGCGGGCGCTAAGACGAGAGCCACATTTTGAAAATGGCCCGCCATCCATCCGCGAAGTTTCTGCGAACTCTTAAGACGAATGATGTGCGCGGCGCTCATGCGAGAGCCACATTTTGAAAACCACCCACCCGCCACCCGTGAAGTTGCCGCAAACTCTGAGCTTCAGCATCGTACGTGGTGGGGAACTCTCAGGCGAAACGCCCGGACCGCCTTGCCGGCACGCATCGGAGTGCGACAGGGAGGAGTTGTTTGTCCAGCTGCCTGCGGCAAACCCCGCCACCGCGCCTATGCAACAGCGCTGCAGGAAGGAGTCTGGGTGTAGAAACGGCGCAGTTCCGACAAGTGGTATACTAGGGACGGGTCGTTCACTCGACCTCGTCTTCGTCCGCGCGGTAGGAAGGAGGTGGATTTCACACCCCGCGGCAGTTCACCGAGAGGTCTGAACTGCGAAGGGTCGTGATCCCAACATCGTCTTCGTCCGCGCGGTAGGCAGGAGGAGGAGGAGGAGGAGGAGGAGAAGGAGGAGGAGGAGAAGGAGGAGGAGGAGACGGAGGAGGAGGAGGAGACGGAGAAAATGGGGACGAAGAGGAGAAAGCTTCTTGTAGCCCTTTTGGGGCCTCCTGGGAGCCTCCTGGGAGCCTCCTGGGAAGCCTCTCGGAGGCCCCTTGGGGGCCTCTTGGGGGCCTCTTGGAGCCCTCATGGGGGCCTCTTGGGGCCTCGTGGGGCCTCTTGGGCCGTCTAAGGGAGGCGATTCACCCGTCTGACGCGTTCGAAGGCCGTCTTGGAGGCCTATCTGAGCCGTCTTGGTGCCCTCTTGAAGAGCTTTAGAGCCTTCTTTTGGGAGCATCTTGGGCGATCTTGGGGTCCTCTTGGGCCGACTCGGACCCTCTTGGGGGCCTCATGGGCTGTCTTGGAACTATCTTGGAAGCCCCTTGGACCGTCCTGGGCGGTCGGAAACCCAAACAGGCGAGAATTTCAAGTCCTTCACAACCCTAGGGAAGTCAATGATGTTGGCATCCCCCAGACTCTCCTGGAGAGCCTCTTGGAGCCCTCTTTGGCTGTATTGGGGGCCTCTCGGGCCGTCTTGAGGCCCTCTTTTTCAGAGCCTCTTGAGCCGTCTTGCGCCATCTGGAGCCGTTTTGATGTCGTCTTGGTTGTCTGAGAAGCCGTCCTGGAGGCCATCTTGGCCGTTCGGAGTCCGAAAATATTGCCTGAAAGGGACGATGTTCGGACGACGCGTGCGGCCAGGGGTTGGTGGAGGTCTTAGAAAACATCAAACAACCTCCACGACATTGGACAAGCATCCTAACGCCTAGGCACGGAAAGGGATTCGGGAAAGGGACGGAGGAGGAGGAGGAGGAGGAGGAGCAGGACAAGGAGCAGGAGGAGGAGCAAGAGAAGGAGCAAGAGAAGGAGCTGGAGGAGGAGGAGGAGGAGGAGGAGGAGGAGGAGGAGGACTACGAACGCTACAGCCACGACGCTCAAGTTCGCCCAGCGTGACAAGAAGGAGGAGGACTCGTGGCCCGCAGGAGGAGCTGGACATGGACAAGTCGATGCCGCTGGAGGACCACGTCGAGGAGCACCGGCCTCGGTGCCTCGCCCGCGCTCGCGGGCGAGGCCTGCGCCGACGGAGGGCCCCCCTCGGCCACGCGCAGAGGGGGGCGGGGGCAGCGGGGTGAAGGCTTCTCGGAAGGAGGCTGCTCCTTAGAATGCGCGGGCCTTGTCCATACGTGCGAGGCCGGCACCTTCTGAGAGGCAGCCTCCTTCTGAGAAGCCTTCACCCCTCTTCCACGCCGCCAATCCTCGTGACGGGGGGGATTGTTGCGTTCCGGGGGGACGAGGGGCCCTCGAAGGTTTCCGGACGTCTCCGTCGGGCAAGGCTTCCCGCGCTCGCGCCCGCGCCCAGGCCTCGCCCGCGCTTGCCTTGCGAGGCATGGCTCCAGCCCAGGCCTCGCCCGTGCTCGCGGGCAAGGCCTGGACCGACGGAGCGCGCCCCGCCCCCCCTCCTGAGGGGGAGACCGCCGTGCCCCAAAAGCACGAAAGGCAGTCGAAGGTTTGGGGACTTTTTCGGGGGTTCCTGAAGGATTTCTCGCCTCAAGATGCCCTCTGGCAGCTGCGCCTCGCCGAGAGCGTCCTGGGGGTGCCCGGATCGTCCCGATCGGCCGCTGGAGACTCCAGTGATAACCCGAAAGCCGAATGTCCGGCCAGACCCTTGCCCCTCGTCCTCAAGGGGGGTCGACGTGCTCCGAGGAGGCTCACGCCCGTTGGTGCTGGCGCGGGGACACGCGTTTTTGAACGCTCTCGTCGGTTCCTGAAGGTTTTCTTGCCTCGGGAGGCGTTCCACCAGCTGTGCCTTGCCGAGAACGCTCTGAGACTGCCTTGATCCTCCCGAGCGGCCACGCCAGCTATGACCCGAAAGCCGAGTGGTCGATTGGACCCCGTCGCTCCTCCTGAGGGGAAATCGTTGCGTTCCGATCTAATTGTTGCCCCAGGACGGCGGAGGAGGAGGAGGAGGAGGAGGAGAAGGAGGAGGAGGAGGAGGAGGAGCAGGAGGACGCGGAGGACGAGGAGGAGGAGGAGGAGGAGGAGGACGAGGAGGAGGAGGAGGAGGAGGAGGAGGTGGAAGAGAAGAGGACGGAGGAGGACGAATGAGAAAATGATAATGAATACCTGGTCCGGCTGCGCCCGTCTTGGGCGGCCTACGCTCCGCGCAGGATTTGAGAACGCGCTTGGCCCGCAGGGCCAGGCCCCCCAGGGCACCACGGCCCCACCCCTCGACCCATCCAGGCCTCAGGGTAAGAGCCCCTAGCTTTCCGAGCCGAGTCCAACCGTGGCGACGATGGGCCCAACGGCCGACGAAAAGCGATCGACTGAATCTAGGCGGCCCGCTCAGGAGTCCACGCCAGCGAGTCGTCTTTAGAAGAGCCTGTCATTGATGATGTCGGCCATGGCCTTCGCATCAAACTTCGGCGAGCCCTCGAAAACTTGGACAAACCCCCGCACACCGCCTGATGCTTTGGTCCTGCTGTCCCAATCCAACGTGTCAAAGCGCAGCTCCTGCATCGGCTTGTGCACCCTCTCATCCTCGATCATCGGGTACCTGATGGCCTCGGTATCTTTGCCCGAGGTGTCTGCCTCATCGAGGCTGAGCTCATGCAGGGGCTCCTTCACGTGCCCTTCGGCGCCGTGGTCGCCCATGCCCCTGCTGCATGCAGTCGTCCGCGGGCCCAGTGGCCGTGTAGCAGCCGTCGAGGTCGTCCGCCCAGCGACGCCTGGCATGGCCTGGCCCCTGCGGCTGCGACCGGGCCGGTTTTACCGCGGCGTAGCTCCGCAGGGCTCTCATTCGCCTCTCCACGGCCACGCGGCGACTCCGCCTGGTCGGACAAGTGCGCGGTGCCGAAGCCCTCCGGGAAGGTGTGGTGCGAGGCCACGCGGTTGTACATTTCCCCGCCCTTCGGCGGCGAGTTCAGCAGCGTGTCGAAAGCGGTCTCGAGGTCCCACCACGCTTCGAAGTGCTCACATTCTTCGAAGCAGAATGTTTCCATTCCCCGTGCGAGCGCCTGTGCCCCTTAGCCACCCTCCACTCCTAGTATCAGTTGCCCTTCTGGCCCCTTGGCGTCGGAGACCTTCACCTTCGCCATCAGCCGCTTTGGCACCTGGTACTCGTCCTTCCCATGCTCCTGGTTGTAGCCCGCCAGGCCTTGCGATAGTCGCGCTTGGCCTTACTGAGTCGCTGGTAATGGCAGCCCGCCCACGGGCACAGGCCCTTCTTCTTGCCCAGTGTGTCCACCCTGACGCAGGACTCTGCATCTCCCGCGCCACTGGATGGCGACGCCTCTGGCTTTGCTGCACTCGGCGTTGGGAGGTGGCGATGGTACTGGGCTCTTGCACGCCGAGCGGGAGCGCAGCCTCGGAACCGGGCGGCTGGAACGGTGCCTCCTCGTCTTCCTCCGCGTCTCCTCCGAGTCGCTCGATTGGCCCGCCGGGCTGCTCGGGGCCCTCGCCTAACCCAGCCTGGAGTCGCGCTGCGGCGCAGCGCCATAGGCGGGCACATTTTCGCCTGCCGATGCTGGTTTGCTTCCTTTTGCCCCAGGCCCGTCGTTGCGTCGGGCTGTTGGGTGGCCTGGTGCTGCTGGTCGGGCACCGCCACGGGTACTGTGCTGCCTGCGCCCACATGCTTGCGCAGCTTCTCCCGGGCCTGCTCCATGACCCTGTCTGGCACGTCGTGCATCGCCACCCTGATGGTTTCGAATGCTGCCTGCTTCACCACGCTCAGCACCAGCCTGCCCACGGAGGCGGATCTCTCCGTCTCTCCACGCGGGGCTGGCACGACGCGGCATGGTTCCATCGGCAACCCAGACGCCGAGCTGCTCGCCGTAGCTGGACCGTGCGGGTGCGCCGTAGGACACCAAAACCACTCCAGCGTACCACACCTCCTACTCGGCGGCGTGGGAAATGTTTGGGGACGGCCTGGACGTCACTTGTGACTTCCAGCTGTTGGCTCCGTCTTCACAGACGGGTGCGGACGACGGCTTCGTGACGGTGGATTCAGTTACGGGCGGCTCGCCTCTCCCCAGCAAAAGACTGCGAAGGGGTTGTGGAAGTGTCGTCCAAAGGTCTCCAAGGGCGACATCTTCGAGCTAGAATACAAGGCGATCATCGACCCAGACCCGCGTGAAGGACGCGACCCTGACAGACCAGACGTTCGGGAGGCAGCGCAGATACCCTCGTGGAAGATCAGGGAGGAATCGCAGGGTCGGAGGGTCTGCGACCGCGCGCCCCAGGAGATTGAGAGGGCCGCTGCGAGAACCAAGACGACAATTCTTGACGTTGCGCGTATCCCCACCAGCCCAACCATAATTGATTGCCAGTTTTCTTGAGGCCTCTTTGGAGGCTATCTTGAGCCATGCTCGGCTAGAGGCTGTCGGAGGCTATCTTGAGCCATGCTCGGCTATCTTGGGCCATCGCGAGGCTGCCTTGAGGCCTCTTGGAGGTCTGTCGGAGGCTATCTTGAGCCATGCTTGGCTATCTTAGGCCGTTTTGAAGGCCATCTTGGGTTATCTAGGGCTCTATTGGAGCCATCTTGGGCCAAAAAGGGCTGGGTGGAGGGTCTTTGGGGAGAGGCTTGGAGGCCTCTTGGGGTCATCTTGAGCCCCATGTTTCAAAAAGAGGAGGTCCTTCAATCAGGGCCCCCCCCATCGGAGCCTCTCAAACGGCGTATTGGGGCCCTCTTGGAGCGCCCTGGGCGCCTCTTGGGCGGTCTTGGGGACGTCTTCGGCCTTTTTGGGCCCCTCTTGGGGCCCTCGTGAGCCATAGTGGGACCATCTTGAGGCTTCCAGAGCCCATCGAAAGCGAAAAGGCGAGAATGCCAAAAACATTGATTTGCCTTAGGCTTTCGAAGGGCGTCGACATCTTGGAGAGCGCCGCGGAGGGCTCGAAGGGCACATGGATCCGTCTCGGGGCTGTCCTGGGGTCTCTTAGGGGCATGTCGGAGGCTATCTTGACCCATCTTGAAGTAACATGGGCCATCTTGGAGGCCATCTTGCGACTTTGAACGCCTCTTGGAGCAATCCTGTGCCATCTTGGACGCCCTAGCGCCTCGCGGCGCGCCCCGCCATGCCCCGCCCAGGCCCAGGGGAGGGGGCGGGGGGGGGGGGTCAGTGGTAGAGAGAAGAAGAAAGGCGTTATACCACCTAAGCCCAGAGGGCTGGTGGGATTCCGCAGCAAAGAGCAAAAGGCCCGCGTCGTTGAAGTCCCCCCTGAGGGCTGAGATGGTCGAGCTCCTGCGCGAACGCAGCCGCCAGAAAGGCGCAGCGCGGACTGGGCCCCCACATTCGGGAGCGGAGCTCGCGCCGGCAACCTTCTACGAGCCGCGCCACGACAACCCCGCAGAGGCCCCGCTCGCGGCCTGCGCGAGCAGGCTGGCATCGACCTCCGAGCACGAGAAGACCCCCAAGGAAGACGAGGAGGCGCCCCATGGCTGCGCCGCGGGCGCCCCCCCGGGCGCTGGACGTCCGCAGAGAGGGGCCAGGGCCAGGGGCGCGAGGAGGTTGCGCAAGGCGCCCAGAGACGAGCAGATGCACGCGGAGACGACGGCTTTCCGTAGGCTGGGTTCGCCGCGCCAGCGCGACACGAGGGGTTTCCCGGGCCCGGCGGGGCTCGCGCCCAGCTCTCATGCCGCCGCGAAGGCGCCATTCAAGCGCCCCAAAGGGCCTCTCCCGCATCGGCCGTGGGGTCCGCGAGAAGGCGCCCCACCGCATCAGCCCAAGCCCACGACCACCCTGTCCCCCCATGCCCCCGAGAAGGAAACGAGGAGGTAGCGACGCCCATCCAAGGGGCGCGCCTCCCGCAGATCCACTTGTGCCCTCGCTCAGGCTGCCGCCGCGCTACATGCAGCGCGGCAGCGCAGAATGCCTTCGCCCTCTGCTCATCACGCGCCAGTTTTGCAACGCAGAGACGGATCTGCACGTCGAGCGCGCGGCCGCTTTTGGCGGATGCCCGCGCGCGCGGCGCCCGCGCCGAACTTATCGAGCGTGAGAAGGAGCTCTTTGACAGGTGATGCGAGGATCAGATAGCGGA